TTTTTTTCCAATTATATATGTATATATAAATAATTACAGGAACTTTAGCTGACTAAGGATGAACATGGGGCACACATCACTAGATCGTACAACCACATCCCCTTGCTGTTGGCAGCTCATTTCATCCCGCAGCATAGAACTTGAACAGATTCAATACACATCAACATGCTAAGCTTATGAGATTCTTTGGCAGCCAGAGATTGTAAAATGCTTTAAAAGTTTGTTTATCCTGTTTTTATCCTTTTTGAATTTTCTGGGATATCCTTTTTTTATCCTTTTTTTATCCTCCGTGATTTTGGTGTTTTTTTTGTTTATCCTTTTTTATCCTTTTTTTATCCTCCTTGATTCTGATGTTTTTTTGTTTATCCTTTTTTTTATCATTTTTTTATCATTTGTTTATCCTCCTAGCTGCAAAATGGATCAAAATTGGCTTCCCCAGATACAAAAGGCAAAGGGCTGAGGAAAAGTGTAGGATTTTATCCTTTTTTTATCCTTGTTTTATCACGTTTTTTCCTCCTAGCTGCAAAATGGATCAAAATTGGCTTCCCCAGGTACGAAAGGCAAAGGGCTGAGGAAAAGTGTAGGATTTTATCCTTTTTTTATCCTTTGTTTATCCTTTTTTAATCATTTTTTTATCCTTTTTTTATCCTCCTAGCTGCAAAATGGATCAAAATTGGCTTCCCCAGGTACAAAAGGCAAAGGGCTGAGGAAAAGTGTGGGATTTTATCCTTTTTTTATTTTTTTTATCCTTTTTTTATCCTCCTAGCTGCAAAATGGATCAAAATTGGCTTCTCCAGGTACAAAAGGCAAAGGGCTGAGGAAAAGTGTAGGATTTTATCCTTTTTTTTATTTCCTTTTTTATCCTTTTTTTATCCTCCTAGCTGCAAAATGGATCAAAATTGGCTTCCCCAGGTACGAAAGGCAAAGGGCTGAGGAAAAGTGTAGGATTTTATCCTTTTTTTATCCTTTGTTTATCCTTTTTTAATCATTATTTTATCCTTTTTTTATCCTCCTAGCTGCAAAATGGATCAAAATTGGCTTCCCCAGGTACAAAAGGCAAAGGGCTGAGGAAAAGTGTGGGATTTTATCCTTTTTTTATTTTATTTTATCCTTTTTTTATCCTCCTAGCTGCAAAATGGATCAAAATTGGCTTCTCCAGGTACAAAAGGCAAAGGGCTGAGGAAAAGTGTAGGATTTTATTTTTTTTATATTTTTTTTTATCCTTTTTTAATCCTTTTTAATCCTTTTTTTATCCTCCTAGCTGCAAAATGGATCAAAATTGGCTTCTCCAGGTACAAAAGGCAAAGGGCTGAGGAAAAGTGTAGGATTTTATCCTTTTTTTATACTTTTTTTATCCTTGTTTTATCCTTTTTTTATCCTCCTAGCTGCAAAATGGATCAAAATTGGCTTCCCCAGGTACAAAAGGCAAAGGGCTGAGGAAAAGTGTAGGATGTTATCCTTTTTTTATCCTTTGTTTATCCTTTTTTTATCATGTTTTTATCCTTTTTTTATCCTCCTAGCTGCAAAATGGATCAAAATTGGCTTCTCCAGGTACAAAAGGCAAAGGGCTGAGGAAAAGTGTAGGATTTTATCCTTTTTTTATCCTTTGTTTATCCTTTTTTAATCATTTTTTTATCCTCCTAGCTGCAAAATGGATCAAAATTGGCTTCCCCAGGTACAAAAGGCAAAGGGCTGAGGAAAAGTGTGGGATTTTATCCTTTGTTTATCCTTTTTTTATCATTTTTTTTATCATTTTTTTATCCTCCTAGCTGCAAAATGGATCAAAATTGGCTTCCCCAGGTACAAAAGGCAAAGGGCTGAGGAAAAGTGTGGGATTTTATCCTTTTTTTATTTTTTTAATTCTTTTTTTAATCATGTTTTAATCCTTTTTTAATCCTTTTTTTATCTTTTTTTTATCCTCCTAGCTGCAAAATGGATCAAAATTGGCTTCCCCAGGTACAAAAGGCAAAGGGCTGAGGAAAAGTGTAGGATTTTATCCGTTTTTTATCATTGTTTTATCATTTTTTTATCCAGGTCAAGGACAAGAGGGTAAAGAAATGATATCCAGGTCAAGGACAAGAGGGTACAAAACGGATTTAAAAATTCAGGAAAATTCACGGGATGATAAGGAAAAGGATATCCAGGTAAAGGACAAGAGGATAAAAAATGATAAAAAAATGATTAAAAAAAATTAAAAAAAAGGATAAAAAAATGATAAAAAAAAGGATATCCAAAATTGAGGAAAAATCAGGGGAGGATAAAAAAAGGATATCCAGGTCAAGGGCAAAAGGATAAAAAAATGATAAAAAACCTTTAATTCTGACCCCATTCTGTGGCTCAAAGATTCTCATAATGCTAAGCTGTGGGGAAGAATAGAGATCTCGATGACTTTGGCCGAAGCCCATACCAATGTGGCAAACCTTCAGGCACCTTCCATTTAATGAAATCTTGGATTTGCTTAAGGAACCTCCAAGCAATAATTAAATGTCAGTCAGTCCCCCCGTCGTAGTGGATTTCCCGTTGTGAAAATAGAATAAAATAAGCTAAATCAGCGACAAACCGCATATCCAAAAAATGTCAATATCCAAGCTGTCCTTCCTAGCGCCATGCCACAATGGAGAACAGACTTGGCTGACACCCCTGCGGCTTCACTGGTGCGCCCGGTGCACTGGTGGCCCATTCCAACCTCAAGTTGCAGGGCGAGGTATGTCAATCATATCACACACCCTGGTAAACTAACACAGCAATGTAAAATTGCACATTCATGGTAGATTACCTATCAAAAATGGTGATTTTCCATAGGTATGATAGTTTACTGGAGGGTATCACCTGGATAATCTTGGATGAGGCCGGTTGTTACTGGTTTATGGCCCCACCGTGACATTGATCCCAAAAGTCCTGCATTGAGCAAACCTTTGAAGCAGGATTCTGGGTCACTGCAAGTTCATATCGTGTAGTTTGGCCATGGGTTTTTTGGTACCTGGTCAGTAGAATGTGATGCCTCAACAATTGTATGCCTAAAATCTACAAGTTGTAACGGCGAGTCAAAACTTTTTTAGCAAACCCAGGCCGCCTCAAAGGATCTGGGCAACTTTGAACTTTGACTATACCAACGTGGTCTACCAACAAACCTCTGTATATGATATGTGTATATATATATGTATATGTATGGTTTTATTTATGTGCATATATATATATAATATTTAATTTATTGATGTGTATATATATAAATATATACACATTTGAAACCTGATCTGATGTCATTTCCCGAAAGTCTACCCAAGGCAACGAATGGTAACAAACCGAATGATCATAAAATACCAACTTGACAAGTTCGGCCATTTGTCGATCCAGTCACAAGTTTTTGCCACATCAACTGTTTGTAAATCACATGGCTCGTGTTTGGGAAAGTCGATGCGACCTTGTCACAACTTACGCGTTTTGTGCATTCCGATCCTGATTCTGAGTTCTGAGAGTCTGGGAGTAGCTGAAAGCACCCTTAAACTGAAGCTAGATAGATAAATCGATGCAGCCCTTCCAAGATGTTTCTTCTTTAGGTCCGTAGCATTCAAAAAAAACAATCGATGCAACCAAACCACTTGAATGTAATTACCTCAATCCAATTCCCATTACCATTCAGCCACATGTTTGAGGATTAAGTTACCAAACAAATCGTACAACCGCCTGTTGACAAACGTCACATCAAACACCCATCAGCCAGGTTCATCTTTTCCGCTTCCTGGGCACGTTGTGATGCCCATCACGTTGAAGTAGGCATGCAGAACCAGCCTGGGCATGTCTGGGCAGCTTTAAACTCCACCAGTCCCCCCAAAACAATCTCATACCAAAATGGGAATGGATGGGACCCAAATTCACAAACAACACCAATCACCAAAACAAGGTTTCGACTCGGATGGCATTTAAAATCTCAATACTTAATGCTAGCATACTTAGGAGGCTATCAGTATTTAATGTCGACAAAATGGCCAGGTTTCCCAAGGGCCTGAGGGACGCATTTGACACATATTTAATGGTAGATTGGTAAGAATCATCACTTCCAGGACTGTTCCACACTCAACACCACACAAAACATTGTATTTGTGTATGCATACATGCATTAATATATATATATATATACATATACATGTTTGAATGGCAAAGAAAACATGATTTGCATTGATTTGCGTACTTCAACAGTGTTCAATCGTTTCCCTCAAATCTGGTTGACATTTTAGACAGGCAAAGATGGTGTTTATAAATTTGTTTCGAAAGTATTTGCTGCTCTAAATGTTACGGTATATGACCTGATATTTCATGATAGTCAGACCTGGAGAAACTAACCCCACAAACACCAACGAACTACTAAGTGGGGTGATCCTCTAAGCATATCAGTACTGGGGGGTGCAGTTCCAGTTGCAGGTGGATATGTAACCATATGTAAGCATATGTTATAGGTGGGCCATGTCCGAACTTATGAGGCTTAGAATCCACTAGTTACACCCACCAATGCACCCAACAGTTTCTCCAAGTAGCTTGTTTATCCCTGCATATCCCTTAGATCACACTAAATCCCTTCAATATCCATTATTTTTTTTGGTTACTTTAGTCCCTAGCAGGTGGGCCCCGATAGCTGTACAATGGGTTTACAAGGAACTTATGATGGGGAGACTAATCTTGTGATTTTGTTTGAATGGCTAGCATATTTCCAACCAACCCCAAGTACCGAAGGGTATATCCCATCAAATCCCCAACATTGTATTCCTATGATGGTTGAAATATACACATGGCATCCACATTATATTCCACTATATTACCATCTCTCTCTCTCCCTCTCTCCACTACATTCCCGTAATATCCCCATTTTTGATGGATAACCAACCAAAAAACTTAACTTATTTTTCCCTACATCCACACATACATTATAAATTACATTACATTACATTACATTACATCACATCACATCACATCACATCACATTACACTACATACATGACATTACATTACATTACCCCATGTCCCCCCCACCCTCGGGACCCAAGGAACAGCATCACCAGCCACGCAGTCGCCAGCGCCGCCAGCAGACCCAGCAGCAGCACCGCTGGGCGGTGCCCCACCGCGAAGCGGCGACTGCGCAAATGGCGGCAACGCAGCAGGGACGAAAAGGCGATCCAACAGGTCAGCATGGTCCTTGAGCAGGTCAAGAAAGGGAAATGGTTGCTAATAGTGGTTGAGGCTGATATAGACTGATCATTATAATAACGGTATTAATAACGGTGAATAATACTCACCCCCTGGTTGATAATGGTTAATCGTGGGTAATAAGTAGCAAGGCTGAATAGTGGAAAACAACAACAATGAATGAATAGTGGATAGACTAACCTAGCTATGGAAAATCCACATGACTTTTGATCTACATCATCGAAATAAATAGGCAATTGTGTTTCGCTTTTCTTATGCTTTTCTACACGCTGAGTGGGATGAGTTCTAGTTGAAACAAAAAAAACACATGTCTATAACGCATAGACACTTCAAATACTAGTTGATACATAACAATATTCATAGTTGAAGTATGGGCAGTGGGATAACACAGACCGGAAACCGTGCTCGTGAAAATAGAGATTTACAAAAAAATGTGTGTTTTGCCACAGCGAGGCAACAATTGTTGTCACTCGAAAAGCGCGAAATTTGGACGTCCAAATTTGGGCGTTTTTTTGGCAAATTGTGTTTTCCCTACAGTAAAACTTGAATTTCTTGCCTATTTTGATCGGACCATTGCAGCCATCTTTTTCACTCCATCTTTCGCAGCATCTGTGCAGTTTTGTCAAGCAGCTTCTTGTACTTGTTAATGAATCTCCATTGCCACATCTTGGCATGCAACATGACATCTTTGTGCTTGGCACCCAAAGAGTTGAGAATGTTTTTTTTTGCACTTAGTAAGTAGGTTATATAAGTGCTCTAACCTTGCTATATACTTATAACCGCCCCCGGCCCTCCAAGTAGGCAACCTAGCAGTCATCCACGTAAGTTAAAGGACGTTATTGCAGCCCCACCCCACCCCACCCCACCCCACCCCCAACACGTAGCATCATCGACGTAGTTGGAAGTTCTTAGAGACGTAGGCAACGTAGCAGTCATCCACGTAAGTTAAAGGACGTTATTGCTGCCCCACCCCACCCCACCCCACCCCATCAAAAACGTTGATTTTACGAGCACGGTTTTCGGTCCGCTGGCACAAATATGCCCTGGGGTAAACATGCAAAAATAAGTGGAAAGCCCATGGTTTCCCTAGGGAAATAAGCTACACATGGTGGGTTCTCCACATCTATGTCAGTTTACAGGGGTGTATATATTATATATATATGTGCATTATCAAAGGGAGGTTCTGAAAAATAAACTTTATATAGACATAGATAAGTATAAACAAGATAGATAGACATAGATGTATATGTAGATATATGTATATAGGCGCGTAGTATGTTCGTACAGTTAATACGTTAATACATATCTATGTATCATTTGAACAAATCATCACGTAGTTGTTGTTCACTAATCTATCTATTCAGTCAATAATTATCTTTACATCTTTACATATGACAATTACCTGCAAGCTCCTGGACAGCGGATCATGCAAAATTAGGTAAATTAGATAATTAGTATACCATCCAAAAACTGCTGATACTGATGTAAAATCGGGTGCTTGGTGCTGAAGGTTGCCGTAGAAAATCAGGAAACGCAAAAGTAAAAAGTAGTAGGATCCTGATGAGGCTACGTTACAGCTAAACATCCAATTAGCATGACACAACCACACCCCAGAACAGCCTCAAAAACATCTTCCCCAACAATCCTTGCGTGGATTTCAGGAAACACCTGCAATGGGCACCAAAATATTTGATGCGGAAACAAGCACATGTTTCAATCAAGACCCCCTGTGACTCCCAAAGCACCACATTCTTCAAGCTCGACTCCACCAAGGCTCCAGCAACACAACAACAACAGGAACAGCAACCAACGATGATAGTTCCGCCGTCCAACGCAGGTGTTGAGCCAAAGGCAATGATGGTCGAAGCCCGCCACGCATTTGTCACATTTGCGGCAATGCCTGGCCCAGCGTGGAGCCGCAGAGCCCACAGGGGCTGCAGTTGGGTTTGTACATGGCTATACGGTGATAACTGTGATAACCCAATATGTTTAAATAAACATGTGCTATACGCCCACTTCTTAAAGTGGAACTGCATCCCCAAGAATCAGGACTAAACCTCAACTTGCGGATGGTTTAAGCACTTCTGGTGCTATTGAAGATTTTTTTTAAACTATTGAGTTTACCACATCTTCCATCATGTGAAACCGCTTCATATGGGACGCCACTACTCCCATTCATTTTGGCGCCAATGCTCACAGCTTAAAACACCTGGCATCGACAATGCCCATCAACCTGGCATCGACAATGCCCATCAATCCCCATTGTCACTTTGTGTTCAGCTCTCCTATTTTTTGGAATCATCTTGTACAAATGTATTTCTTTGAGCATAAATTGATATATTTATTAAATACATGTTTAAACATGTTTATACATACATATGCAGCACATGATATATATATAAATATATGGGTAAACTGTCTCATTTCACTAACCTGAACTAAGGCTATTTGGGGATGATTCCTCTCACTAACGATTCCAGCAAGGTCGTAGTTCAGGTTGCAATAACTTACCCATTATATATATATATATGAATATATGTATAAATAATATATATATATATACATATATATATACATACATATAGTCATATATATATATATATATATATATATATGTGTGACTATGTGTGTGTGTGTGCTTTGTTGGTTGTGGTAACACCTCCCTGTCCTGTCTTTTTCTGATGTTGAAACGATAATGCACATGTGCATGCTCACCCTGGCCCAACCCACACCACGTGGGCCTGGTTTTGGGCGCCACCTCAAAAATACAGCCGTGCTTGCACCGCGCGATGGGATTCGGAACGCTACCGGATATTGATCTCTTCCGCGGCGGTGGTGCGCGCGGATCCGACCAAAGGACCCAGCCCAATAAAGGCACCCAAGCGGCCGCTGAAAGCCTTCACTGGCGGATAGGGTTTTGCGGGATTGTTTGAGGTGAAATGCATTGCATCATTTCGCTTCACAGGAACATTATGTTTGAGATGATTTCATCTTGAATTCAGGGGGTTGGGTATGGTAAACGAGTGTAAACCATGGTAAACCACATTCATCACAGGAATCATCCATGGGTAAAAACCCCTGCTTGGAAAAGTCCCTTCACCTACCTGCAGTTGCAAGCCACCTCTTTGCAGGAAATCACAGTATACTGATTTATCCAACCTATATATTTCATTTTATACCCTTCGTGTCAAACACATATACACACATATTATACATACAAATTCGTCAAAACATCTGCAGCCTGAAGCAACTGCATGCCAATTTGCAATACATGCTCCACAATAATAATTAAAGATAATTTTAGTAGCTAGCAATGTGCGGAAGATTCATCACGATTTACCACCCACCAAACCGACCAAACACACAAGCACACTCATATCTTAGAAGTATTGAATTGGCTCAAATGACATAAACAAAACACCATATGTTTATGGCGGTTCCAACCCAGTGATCAAGTGATCAGAAACTTTGAACGATTGAGACTCCGCTAAGGAACATCCAAAGGCGCAAAGCGTCAAAGTCCATCTGTGAAGGCGTTGGAGGTAAACCTGACCAATACGAATCGCACTCGCGTGCATACATGGGTCTGTCTGAAAAATGGGGGTCTCGCATCTACCCAAAGAATTGCAATGTTCATAGGGATTCAAAGGGGAAAACGATGATCAACTGCTGGCTCTTAGGGATCTCTCAGGGGTACCCCATTTTTAGGACAAACCCATTAGACACCTGGAGCAGGTGGACCCAGCGAGGGTCAACCCCTGGTTGATTTCTGATTCATTTGGGGGACGGGCCCCCTAGAATAGTAATATAGTTGGCTGCTGAAATGGTGCCTCACAATTCAACAGCCTAGTGGTTTATCAATCTGGGGTTGACATGACTAAAGGTGATGTTCCCGAGCCCAGACCTATGTTAAATTGCTTGCCGATCAACAACACGGGGGACAAATCCCTGTGCAACTGCAGTAGTTTGGTGGAATCTGGCGCTATCTGATCCCAAAAATGATCCACAGAGAATAGGGTCAGCAGTAGTTCAAGGAAAATGCATATGGATTAGGCCCAAGGAAAGACAAGGAGATTTACATTTCATTTGTTTGGCATGTCACCGTTTGGGTGGGGTATTCTAGTCCGCAAATTGGAAAACAACCAGCATTCAGCCAGCAAATTGGGGCACGTTCACTTTTCCGGTTTTTTCAGGTCCCCAGCAAACAACGAAGGGTCGCCAACTTCAGCCCAAGCAACGGAAGGCTAAGTAACCCCCCAAAGCAAAAGCGGCGATCAGCCCCGCAGCGGATTGCGAATGACTGGAGTAAGGCGGACTGAAACTGTTGATCCGTCCGCGTAGCTCGGGAACATTCAACGCCTGGCCCGGGCTTGGCACCGTGGATTGGTTGAGGTTAGGGGGAAAGCTTCTTGGACTTGTTGCGCAAATAAATGCATTAGCAATTTTAAAACTTTTATGGAGAATGAGGAGTTGACCAATATATGACCCTGTGAGAAAAAGATATAAAAAGTGATGTGTTGGCAACTTTACGATGCCCGGGAAGCACATCCAATTGTTCATACTGGGGAAATCATGAGAGACCAACTTTATTGACCATCTCTGGCTGTTTTACATCCCCAAATATCCCCAAACTACCTGGCAAATCCCCACTACATGATTGCTTACAGTACTTCATGACCGGTTCAAAACCACCATAAATCAAATCACCATAAATCTGCTTGGGTTTCCCACCTGCCCCCACCTCCAAAACCTCCTCCGGCTCCAGGATCTGAATGCTCTGCTGCCGTGGGGCTCCTGGCGAGCGCCGTGTCACCGTCGGAGATTTCTTTGGCGCCGGCGCCGACACGTCGGGCGTCGTTTTGAATCGCCGGAAGCCCCGCTGAACGTTGCCGTTGTCGCCGTTGCCGGCGTCGCAGTCCGCCAGAGCAGCCGCATCCGCCGGGGGCACGGTGGCGGGAGGCTCCATGAAGGCCAGGTGGAGGGACGGCCAAAGTTTGTTTGTTGTTTGGTTCCGAACATGGGCTCTGGTTGGTCTTGTGATGTTTTTTTGATGCGTTTGAGATGTTGCTGATGAGGTTTCTTGGGGTTGGCAACTTGTTGTGTCTTTTTTGGGAGGCTCAGGGGCTGATGCCAAAATATGCAAATGGGCCCCGCGAATGGCTGCCCCCTTCGGCACTACTTGGCATGTCGCCCTGGGACGGAGCCAAAACCCAACGTGATGTATAGCTACTTCCCCGACCAAGATTTAACCAACGCGATTTTAAATTGTGTCATAACTTACCCCAGAAAAGAGGTTGGATCTTGAGCAGGACCTTGTAAAGAAATTGGTTGTGGCCTCATTCTCTTGTATCCTCTGGGAATGGAAAAGTAATGATCTATAATTATTGATCTATCATTATTGATTTCTCTCGATGATTTTCATGTTCAAAGTGCGGATGTTCATGACCAGCTCTGACAACTTCTTGGTGTTTAAGTTTCAACTTTTTGGGGTTATATCGTTAACATTATATCCATGGCTGTAGCCATTGATAACGACAACTGCAGTATGATTAATTTACCTGTTGCCTCCACCACAATCCACTCACTATATAGATATATAAATATAACTCCGAGTATTCCAGCCCCATTTTGCTGGATACCCCACCATGTTTGAAGTTAAATCCTCACATTCATGTGGTATGTCTTTTACCCAGCTTTTTGGATTGTCACAGTAAATCTATGTTAAATCCATCCCCATCCTCGCGACCGTAGCCGCAGGGTCATGCCTGTGCCATCTTTGGGTCTGGAGGAACTGGCGCCTGATTCACGGTGCTCCACGCTGGTCATGTCGAAAGCGGAAACCAATGGTTTTGGGGTACCGGATTTTCAAAACAAATCCACATATATGTATGTATATATATATAGAGAGAGAGAGAGATCTAGATATAGTTGCGCAAGTGTACCTTCAGGTGACTTATGGGTGCTGCAAATGCAATTAATTTCACATGCCACGGTGATGCATTATAGGTGGATGATGTGGGACCAATTGTCCATTGCTTTGGTGCCAGAATTTGCAGAAAAGGAATCAGGCCTGGGTCCATGATGTCTGGCCAGTGAAGTGGGTTTGAGCACTACTGCAAGCACGCAGTGATCATTCTTTTTAGAATTTAAATAGCACTTGTATTCAAAGGCGGCATTTTACTTTTATGTGCTATGACTTAATTCCAGAAGCGACGTCATACTACTTTTCTTGGGCTACGTCGCTTTAGTTGGTATGTCTGTAATTACCACGTTTGGGTTCTAAGACAAAGACGTGCACTTTGGTACTATGTCTTGGTCCAATCACCATGTTTTGGGTGATGACATGTCAATTTTTTGGTGGATAAAATCATGCAGTGCCCAAAATACTGTTGGAACTCCCATTAGGGAAACATGGGAAACCCTCGACCACAGAGATTACTTCCTCTGCCCTATATAGTTGTTTAATGTGATATAGAGATATACAGAGCCGAGATCAATATACAACAGTCAATCCATTTAGGGGACCTGAAAAAAATGAACTCTTGGCTTTTACCGGTCATCAAACGGCTCGTACCTGCAACTTGGGCTGGGCCGGCTGAGCCGGCTGGGCCGGCTGGCTGGATGTGGCCGGGGCATCCCAGTGGAAACGCTTCAAATGGATTTGCAACACCTGCAGCGGCGCCAAGTATCTGGGGCACCTTGTGGCAGCCCCAACATATTTTTTTCAGAGAGCCACAATGTCTTGGAAACCTGGTGATGTTCCTGGACATATGAGGTAAATATCATCGAACTATCCTGGAAACACTTTTTGGCATCTTGCTATATCTCGTGTTGTCATCCATCCCATTCCATGGGAATCCAACAACAATGGGTGCATTATAACCCCCATTCAACGGGTTGATAACCAACCATGCCCCAATGTGGGTACACAATCCAAGTGTTGATGATGGCAACTGTATGTACATGTATGTATGTGTATATATCTATCTATATATATATATACATACATACATGAGTGGCGACAAAACTACTTACTGCTCGCACTCGCAATGGACATGGCCAAAGTGGGTGGTCCCCGATCGGTTGTGAAGGTTTGTACTTCCATGCTACAAGTATGTGTAAAAAAAGGGTATCGGCAAGAGGGTGGTCCCCTATCGGTCGTGAAGGTTTTCACACCAATTTGAACGTCCAAGTCCACTTCCCACTTAGATATATAAGTGTATGGTATACATATATCTTATACCTGAGGATGTGCAAAGCAAAAAGTGACTATATTTCATCTGAATGGATTGCATATTATTCAATTCCAATCCAGCTGTAGATATATCCGCTGTGAATCTACTGGTGCACCTAGTTATTGACATAGGTTTCTCATCCAGGCCCCTCCGTCTTGTGAAAATGATTTCGACATACTCGTTGCATCTCGTTGCGCTGTTCCACACGTTTTGGGGGTAAACAAAGCCGCCTCCAATTAAGTTGGTGTAGTATTGAACGGATTTCTTCAACTTTGGACTGGACTCCCTGCACTCATTGATTTCCCTGCCAGGGAATCATTTTTGGGTGATTAACTGGTGTCACAATTCTGTGGAACATACTCATCTCGTAATGTTGTTGTACGTCACGGCGCATGACCTATGGTAGCCTATTGTGGGGTGAATTCAATCCGTCTACTATGCCTGCTTAGGCACACATTGACCCTGAAAATAGATGGCTTGCGAACAACTGCCTAGGGTAATTGTATGAGGCTATACTGAATGAAGCAACGAAACAATGGATAAAGCTCTGATGCTTCCACCAAGAGATTGATTTGTTGGCCAAATGTCCAAATGTCATACATCTGTAGATACATAGATGATACCTCAGATCCAAGTCGCAAAGCCCCACCCAACTCCCCGGGCCTTGGGTACCCGTTGCAGCCGCAGCCGCCGTGAGGCCGTCGCCGACGTCGAAACCGTTGCGGCGCTGGCGCACTTGTCGCAACTCCAACCCTGGACGGGGGCTCTGGGTGAAACCTTGGTTTTCACCAACAATAACTGTAGTTTTTTCCTTAAACCAATCCAATGATGGGGTAAGACCTCCGAGTTCTTGCAGCTTGAACACACAAAATTGTGATAAACCATGGTAAACCAGTGGATTTACGGGGTACCCAAGTTTCAGACAAAGTCAAATGAATCCGCGTTTGTGATTGAGCCACCTATCCCAACAATGTGAATGTTGATTGGGATCGTCATCCGGGGTATGTAGAGGATGGAAAACGACACCTTTGCGACTTGACGCCAGCTTGGGTATAAGTGTTACATAGAGTGACATAGAGCACCGGCCAACAAAACGAAAGTCCGATAAGAACACACCTGAGAAGTCACCAAAAGACCTGACTTCCTCAAAATGTTCCATAACATCCCAGCCCATGCTTTGACCATCCTTGACCCCAAAGAAAACTTCGCCATCCGCCGTTGATGTGACCGGACCTCCAAAGCTTCTTCAGCACAAAAACTCTCCAGGACTCTGCCCAGAGTCGCCTTGGAAGGACGTCTGTTTGGCGACTGAAGTTTCGTCTTGGTGAGTGTTTGTTGGGGTCAATCTGGAGTACCATAGAGACTATACCTATACATCAAACCATGGCTGTCAGAGTCAACTTTTCAGAGTGAAATTATCTGAAATTAACATGGTTATCTTTATCGCTTGCTATAAATTTGGATCAACTCTCTCTCTCTCTCTCTTCTCTCTTCTCTCTTCTCTCTCCTCTCTCCTCTCTCTCTCTCTCTCTGTCTCTGACAAGCCCCCTACGTTTTAAACTTTTTACTCGTATCCATGTTTTTTGCACGAGACTCTCCAACTGGGTTTACCCACAATCCTGAAAGTCCTAGTCAAGCCACGCAGCTCAATCCTATGAATGATTGCTCCAATGTTTTTCTTTTATGCAAATGAATGTCCTCCATGGTGCGTGTCGCTTAGAATCCGTCATGATCAGTGACTTCGAGGTGCTTGCCTGAAGTGCCCGAAAAATCTTGACAATGCGCTGACCCCAACTTAGCCAAGTAGCTAAATCACATAAATTTAATGGATTGAATTCGGTTGAATCATCATGTCATATCATTTCTGTTGGTTAAACCTGGTGAAGAGGTGTATTTTTGCCGGTGAACAACCTAGGATTCCTGCCAGTTCCCACCCATGTTTCAACCAAAAAAAATCGCCTCAGATGATGGCACCGACAACGGCAGGGACCAGAAAGGATCCTCCACAAAGTCCTGAGACCCGCAGGAACAACCTGGGCGCGGACCCAGGCCGAAATGGGGCCCAGGTGGGGTCATATATGTGTAGATGGCTTTCAAACTAGCCATAAAGGATCATGAAAGGCATTTCACCCGCACACGTTGTGAACATGTGGGTGTTGCCAACAGAAAATGAGGTCTAGGCAGAATGGGGATGATGCCGTAAAACTACGTAAGGTGGAACTCAACAATTTGCATGTTGATAAGGAAACTCATATTCCAAGCCGATGTATAACATGATGGGAAGGACGCCAGTGCTTGCATGAATGTGAACACCTTAAACTATACGAAACGGCAAAACTTCTTCTTGCAAGCGGAGAGGAATTTGCTCAAGATCCTTTCCGCTTGCTGCTTGTCCTGTCGCAATAGTAAAACGGGAGAGATGTTCATGAGAAGGGTGATCGTGACAACGAAATGAGTTCGTGTCTAGAGATACGACATTGGAAAGATTGCATGGTTGAAGTGCTGGTATCGGCATAGTTTTCACTGACCTTATAATAACGCGCCTCATCACTTGTGCACAAGAGAGTGCGCATCTTGGCCGCGGCGTGCAGCTGCGGCACCCTATCCTGCGTTTGCAACGACAAGAAAGGAGAGCATGGATGCAAGCGGTGGACTTTGCATGACTATATACCATGATATTTTCTTTGCGACAGCAAAATCAGTCATGTAGCAATTTGCAACGCAGGTCCTGCAAGAGGTCCAGGCCCAAGTGCTCCTCGGGTCCATCCGCCATGACAGGATATTGAAGTTTGGCGGTGGGTTCTCGTAGCCGCAGCTGCCACGCTTGCGTCGGGTCCTACTCACATTGGAAACAGATGGCGCACAGTTGACGCGACAGGTTGATTCGTGGTAAGACAGGTCCAAGTCTGAAGACGCTAAATGACATCCCCCGGCCTCATCGACGACAAGCTAAGCCCTTGCCCAGATGTGTCGACCAGTCGCAGTTTTGCGCAGAATGCAGCAAAACTGCGTCACGGGATAGCAGCGGATAGCATGCTCTGCCATCCGGGCGGGCGTCCACCGCAGCGCCCTTGGTGAGGTCCAGAGCCTGCATGAGCGCCGAGGGTTTTGCCAAGTGAACGACGTTCGACAGATGGGTATAAATCAGGTGGGGTATTTTGTGTGATCTCACAAAGGCATCCAGACAATTGCGCGTTTGGGCAAGCTTGAAGCCGATTGTGGCCTGGCCATCAGTGATGAGACAAATAGTTGTGCTTCTTTGGCCCGGCCTGCCACCAGAGCGTCCATCACACGCTCGATCTCGGCAAGCACCTGCTTGGCGGTGTTGGATGCTGGTGCCGGTGCCGTTGCTGCTGGGCTGCCGCTGCCGCTGCGCCCCTGCCTGTCCGTCGGGCTGCTGGTGGAGAAAAGTTAACAGGTCCGGGGCAAAAATGGGTGAAGACAGCACTAACACTAGACCATCGCACCTGCTGGGCGTACCGGTTCTTGGAAGACGTAGACGCCGGCCTGCTCCAGCGCCCGGGCTTGCACTTAGCAACAGATATATTCAAACGAGGTTCAGTTACAGCAGTATCTTGTAAGAAAACAAACCGCGTCAGAGCCAAGAGCGGGCCTCTGTGGACAACTTGTGGTAAAAGAAGTCAAGTCGTATAACTTGATCGGGTCGCGCCTGTCAGCAAATATCAGAAGCGTAATTTCATTAATTTCCTTTCTCAAACGGATGTCTCGTATCACTAGGTTTTGACTGGCTGGACATCCCCAAACATTTTATGAAGGGTCGTAACGACCCCTTCGGCTCAGGTCTTGTGGTGGCTTTGGGGGACTTTGCGCCTCTTGTTTGCAATCATCTGCGTTAATCTGCGCTAGTCTGCACTTATCGGCATTGGTCTGCATATTCTGCATTAATCTGCACTGATCGGCATGCGCTTGCACATACCTGCACTAGTCTGCAAGTAGCGTGCATAAGTCTGTATAGTTTTGCATTACCTTGCAAGCAAAACCCACATTAGCCACAGCTTGTTTTGGGGAAATGTTGGTCAGCGAAGACTTTTTGTAGCTGTTCGTTGGGCGAACCCATTCGGCGATTCGATAGGATTTGTCGTTCCTTACCGGATCTCAACCAATACAGCAAGCTGCAAAATGTCAACCAACGCAGTAGGCAACACAAGGATTGCTGCAACCAAATCATTCCCAGTGGTGGCTACAAACAGTTTTTTCACACGAGGAACGCCTAGTGCACTGCAACAGCACCAGCAAGTGTCAAATCTCAACCAAAAAAGAGGCAACAGAAATCAATGGAATCTGAACCATACAGATGCCAGGACATATGATTTAATGTTTCAGCAGGTAACCAAATTGCAAAGTGGACTTCTTGATGCCGCCGAAGCAACACAATTCCGAGCGCAATTCGCCCTCGAAGATGTCCCGGACCAAAGACGGACCTCAAGACGACCATGGCTATAACCCATATGCATTGGGGTCAAAGCCAACTGTTTCATGGGGATTAATCATATAATGGGAATAACATGGGATATAATTTTAAGTATAACCCTCTGACATGATTTGTGATGTGGGTTTGTCTGAATATATGAACACCCTAAAATCCATTATTGGTCTCTCATGCCGTTCCCTATTAAACTGACCATGCGGAGGGGGTGTATACCATGGTATACCACCCCTTATCAGACTCGGCCATTTGCAAGGCAAGACTCAAGAGCTTGGGGTGAGCGAATGCAAACCCTTCAGGTTGGCTTACAGCCTTACTCAAAATGACACTTTCTTCAGCTATACCCACAGGACAAGCAGGTGCAACGTATTGGTCCCGATCGGTGTGGGCCAAATTCTTGAGTAGCCCAAAAGTGGATGGTTTGTAATTGAACAATGAGATCAAAAACTGTTGTTCCCTAAATCTTGTACCCGATCATACGAGTACCATTATCTATGCTATATGATTCAATCCGTAGTTCAGTCTCTAGACAAAAGCTATGGTGCAAGAAACCTGCGAGAAAATGCTTGCTCAGCAGGTGCAAAGCTTTGGGACGAAAAAATGTTGATATTTATTCATATGGAGGTCCTAAAATGGAGGACCCCCATATCATCCAAAATTGGCTATTGCCATTGGGAAGACCCATGGTTTGGGGAACCCACATTTTGGGACCCCCATATTTCAATGTCTGGCAGTGGGCCCCCATTCCCGCTGATAATCACCATTGTTCAAGTAAAACTTTACAAATTTGGGGGCCCAGGGCCCCACTTGTTCCAAAAAGCCATATGCATCAACAATGGCAATAAGAAACATATTTGAAACAACAGAAGAACTTGCACATATAAACAACCATATAGTGCTATATATATATATTATACGTAAAATATATGTATATATATATATATATACTATTCTAGGTTTTTGTTCCATGACAGCAATATTTAGAAACAACATGAACCAAATCAGAAGCTGGGTCTGTTTCCCATCCCATTATAGTCGCATTATTGATTTACTATGATTCTATTAAGTAATCTTACTAAAAATCCATTATTCTTAGATCATCATCCTAAGAATCACATTAAAACACATTAAATCAACTTCATCAACTTAAGATCCCATGAAGTAATCTTACTAAAATCCCAGAAAATGGAACAAACCAGAAACATCTTCATCAACCTGCAGCTCTAGGGACCATCTTCACCACTCAGTTCAGTGTGAATGGCCTCTAGTAGGGTCTGCAGAAACCTGTAGCGAAAAGGACGAAACAAACACGAAAAAAGGTGGGCTTCGGCTACGAAAAATGAGTGTCAAGCAATGTTAAGCACCTCAACTGAGCGGTTCTTAGTGGATGTTAGTGGTTCGTACGCCCTTAAGTTAGCCTAACATCTCATCTTGGTGATGGATTCAACCGAAATCTACTGTAAAATACTTGGAGTTGTATCAAAACGGGGGCGGCCTAAAATCCCATATAAACATGCACTTTTTGACGTCTCCAGCGTTTTCAGACACAGCCCAGTAGGAGAGACGTTTCAGTTTTGGACCCAGCCCGGCCCAAGATTACGAGCAGCTCTTGTGCATCTTGCTGCCCATTGCCTGCAAACATCCGGTTGCCCGCAGCCACTGACGCCTGAGATGTGAAAAAATGGCACCACGGTGATTCCCTATAGGCTGGGACAACATTTGCCGAGAATGGCATGCACCATGTCAGAGCTCATAAGCCGAAACAACCGAACTCAACAAATTAGTACCCTCCCCCAAATTAACATAGATCCTGCCATGAGCCGGGTTTTGCACTAGAAATGTGGCAATTTTCAGGGTCAAACTGGTAATTTGGGGTAGGGCAACCGGCGAACCCACGAACAAATCCCAAAAAATAGTAAACAAACATTAGCTGCTATATAAGCCCAAACTAACCCCAAAAATAAACCTAAACAATCTATTATCAGTAAACCAAACAAAATCCCAAACATCCACCTTCAAGCGCGCCGGCGCCGGCGCATCTTCCGCATCCTCTAGGAGCTGAAACGTCTCTGCCAGAGCCCTGGCGACATGTCAGCTGTCTTAGTAGTGGCGTGATCTTTTCATGGGAATTTCCAATGCTAATTCAATATTTCAATTTACTAGAGGGAATCAGCAAAATGTCTGAAAGTATGGTTAATGAGTCAATCAAACTAACCATATTTAGCAGTATTTGGATTGGTGATCCTATGATTCTATGGGCTTTGACAGACAGGGTGGCTGGAAAACATCTTATGGGATTCTGAGAGGCTATTTGGCTATTTTGTGTATGTTATTTTTGAACGGCTATTGTAAGATACTGTGTGATGTTGAAAGGTGATTTTCACTTTTCACATGTATTTATTCGATTTTGAAAGGTGAGTTGAATCCGTGGTTTTTGAAATGTGTTGAAATGATGCCCAATAGTTGAATGTTGTTGGATAAGATTGGTTGGATTGTAGCTAGCTTAGCTATTCCATGAATCACTCATTCCTGAAATTATCCCGTGCCTAGAGATCCGAACAATGGCTAGACGGTCTAGACGTGCCTGCAATTTGGACCACCATCCTTTTGCTGCAGCACTGCTTGCTGCAGCAAAGGTGTTTGGGACAAACACTGCACCCCGCTGTTGAGATAGCCTTGGCTGTAACAACCTTTGTAAGTGGAAGGGGGCAGTCACTGCGCGTCTTCACTTCAAAAAAACACATTGAGAATGATTATAGGTATCATAGGGGCTACAAGTTGCATCCAGCAAACCAGCAGCCAACTCACCCAACAAGGCACAGGTATTGCCCATGTTGCGCAAACCCAGAACGCCAGGCCGCTCCTCAGAAGAATCACGGAGAACCAGCCGCCATATGCACAATGTGAGAACCCCCAAAACTGTAATTGCCCATGACCATAATGATTTTGGTTGACCTGCTTATTCATTTTTTGTTGGTCAAAGTCCTATCGTTTTTTTTTTGGAATCATCGTTGGACGTGTTTTTTTTCTTCAGGTTTTGTTCCTACATATTATGTTTTGTATATCATGCACCAACTCCAGTTTGTTTTGTCAGGTTCGGCAATTCTAATTCTAGAAATTAAAATATAATTAATTATATTGTTTCCTTATTTCCTTGTGTGCCTTGTATTTCTCACTATATTAAAATATAAATCAACACATTTATGAACAATACTCACCAGGAACATATACTATATCTCTCTATGCATTACGAACTTGAAATCAATTAATCGCACACATGCTCAAACATCTGGATTTTTTTAATTCATCTGAAATAAAGCTATTTTTGGATTTTTTGGGATGATTACCCATAACAAACCATCATCGAATCATCATTGAATATGATGCCTTCGTCATACGTTCGCGCTTGATGCTCCTTCCTCGACTTCTTCGGCACGCTCTCGACCTCGCCCGGCACCGCCGATCGACTCGGCGCTGCGCTGCCAGTGGTGCCGACAACGGCTGCGGTGCTGTGGAGTTCAACCAGGAGAACCTGGGGCTATCGGTAGAAGAAACGATATAGCCATCAATAGATAGTGACCGTTTACTCATATATATTAATCTTGTGATATTTGGATTGTCGATTTATCTAAATCGATTTAAACATAGTTTATAATATAAATATAATATATATATATATATAATAAATATATATATATATATATATATAGGGTGTATGAAACGTGTATGCATTGTGTTTGTCCGTTTTCTGGGCCAAACTCCGAACATAGCTCAAATTTGGATGGAATGAATTCCCAAGCACTAGAAACAAAATCCACAAGATTCCCTAAATGGTGGAGTAACCAACTGGAAAATGCAATGCTACAAATTGCCACATCACCTTCGGCAAATCCAAGTTGAGGGATGGCTAAGGGATTTTTGATGTGATTTTGAGCGATTTGGATTGTATAGTTGAGAAAATCTCGGAAATTCTTTCAATTTTGCAATGGATCAAACTGCGAGGAAAACAGGAAATTTTGGATTCAAAGCCTCGATGTGATGATCACCAAGTCTAGGGATCTTTGAAGTCAATGGGATCATCAGGAGCCACTCATTGGAGATGCTTACCACGTATAATTTCTATGTTTGCAGGCCAAATTTCAAGGGATATAATGTCAAGTCAGGATTAGTCAACATCCCGTTATTAATCAACCTCCTCCTCCCAAAAAAAAGAATGTAAATTAAAAACAGGTGGTCCCCCTGGATAAACTTTTTGGCATGGACATAATTAATCAACCCCCAGTGCTGAAATCTCATTTGTTTTATCCAAAAGTGTTTATTTCCAATTCTTTTTGTTTCTCATCATGTATCATCAATCTCAGAACCCATCACTGCTGATCATTGAAAATTTGAGAAAACAAACATTCCCCAGATGATCGACTTCTAACTAAATTCTTCACAAAAATCATCAGTTTGGATAGCTCCCAAAGGGTACCCCCCATGAGCCCATGTCCCCCATTAATAATAACCAGGGTTTGCCCCTTATTAATCACCCCCATGTCCCTAATGTTTTCTTCTTTGGATTTGCCCATTCATTCCCAATGTCCCCCATAGCTTTCAGCCAATGTTTTCAGTCAAAATGGAATTCTACGAAAATCTAATGAGATTCTACGAAAATCTAATTGACTTCTATAGGTTCCAAGCCATATCCATTTTTTTATGGTTCAGAGGGCGTTCATTAACGGGTGAAACAGGAAAGCTTCGACAAGGTCCATCTGACCTTGTGGGGGGGGGGGCGGCCGTTTACACCCAATTTATATGGCTTTATAATGCTTTATATGGTACTGTCTGCACCATGGCCACGCAACAGATCCCGGGGCTGCATGTCGCCAGAGAGGCTCTTCAGCTGCCTCAGCGCAGTGCCGCAGATTGTTGAGTTCAACCTGCCTATTTCTGGGGTAAACCTCAGATGAAGCTCCACTTGTCTGATAGTTAAACCGTAAAAAAAACACCGTTCTTTTGAAAGCAAAGTCCATTTTTTCAGCTCCCAGAAAGTGCAAAGTTTTTTTTTGGGGGAACATCTTAACAGAAACCTTGAATTGTACCCACGCGTATGCCTGAAAAGCAACACTTGGAATCTTACAAACGTCATGGAAACACTTCCGAAATACTAAAGCCTCCTTGTCTCCAGGAGAAACTTGGTGCACCAGATTTTTTACATCTCCAACTTCCCGAAAGACTTGGACATCTTGGACTGTCCAAGGTTAAACCATGCGAGAACGCTAATATTCTAACCCCCATGAAAATATCATATAAGTAAATGACCGGGATAATCCCATTATGAACTCCAGCAATATCAAATGTTCCCATTATCACCATCATATTCCCGTCGTTTCTATTCATATCACCATTAAATAATGGAATTTCATAGGGACATTGCCAACTAATGTAAAAAAAAGGTGATTCTGATCTTATATCCCATTAGTATCCTATGAATCTCCCTATTAAAAAAAAATATGAAATCATCATTTTTATATCTCCAAGCCTGGCTTCACCCTGCCCCCTTTTACGGCCTCCCCGAAGCACGGCAGCTGCACCGTGGGGAGCGCACTGCTCGGCGCGTTCCGCAGCAGAAGCGTCAGGGTGTCTGGAGGCTGGCAGAGAAGGGAAGCGACCTGCAAGGGAGAACTGGGATCATAGGGGGTAATGATGGGTATACAATGGCCGCACACACACACATATATATATATATATATAATCACCAGCGTTTTAAGGAGGGGGTACGTACCAAAATGTACGCATTTTTCAAGGTGTTTTTGAGCGAGGGCCTTGAAACTGTAAGCTTACATGTTGAAGGTATTTTGAAGACCTTCCCCACAAAAACGACACCTGGGGGACGTTCAGCAACCAGTTTTACATTGAAGGGAGGGTCCCCAAAAAATGTAGCTTACATTTTGGTATGGTCCCGCCTGAAAAGTGGCCTTAAAGGGGTGGTGATTATATAATATAAATATAATAATAATAACAGTAATAATAATAACAATAACAATAACAATAATAATAACAATAATAATAATAATAATATATATATATAAAGAATAAGCACACACTTTTAGATTCCACTCCGCAGCGAGATAATTAGAATTAATTAAAAAAGGAACAAAACGGTTCACTGTTAAATCACTGTCACTTCAGGCTCCCACCGGGCCAGACCCCTGGTGGGAGAAAATCTTGACACCAGGACCCCTCTGGTGAGATCGAGCCAGACCCTCCTACTCACCAAGAGCCAAGGCCATATCAAAGCTTAACTCTCGCATCCATAGAAGGAGAAAAAAAGAGACAAACAGAGACATTTTCTCCTGGTGTTCCTCTTTTGCTTCGCCCTACCACCAACCCGAAAGAACATGGGAGGTAGAGGGAGGGAGCTGAAGCCCAAACACTGCAGGAATAAAAAAGCATGTGGTTATTCTTTACCCCCGGGGCCGTGGTAGCAAAGAATAAGCACACACTTTTAGATTCCACTCCGCAGCGAGATAATTAGAATTAATAAAAAAAGGAACAAAACGGTTCACTGTTAAATCACTGTCACTTCAGGCCCCCACCGGGCCAGACCCCTGGTGGGAGAAAATCTTGACATCAGGACCCCTCTGGTGAGATCGAGCCAGACCCTCCTACTCACCAAGAGCCAAGGCCATATCAAAGCTTAACTCTCGCATCCATAGAAGGAGAAAAAAAGAGACAAACAGAGACATTTTCTCCTGGTGTTCCTCTTTTGCTTCGCCCTACCACGTCCCCCAGATCTTCCTTCGGAAGAAGGAGGCTCAAGTGTGGTAAAAGGCAGTTGTCGGGAGTACTGGGTGAAAACATGCAAAAAAAGGTTTGAGGGAAGGGAGGGAAGCAGGAAGTTGCAATTCAGCTAGGATAGCCAGTCCCTCATTCAAATAGATTCTCGCCGTTTTCGGCGCCTGCCATCTCCCTTGAAGGAGGATTTTATCTAAACTATGATGGCGGCTAAACCACCATGTCGCACCACCGCGACGCAGGCTATATGGCCTAAACCCAAAAGAAACCAAATTCAGCGCAACTAGTGCTTGGTTGAACAGGTCTCGCCATTGGGCAGGATTCTTAGCGAATGGGGAAGTAGTAGAAGCCAAACTTTTCCAGTGTTGAATGGCTTTCACGACCATGTCATAGCCAATGACAATGGATTCGGCAGCACCCTGCCGTTTTCCTGATTTTGTAAGTCCAAGCGACACCACAACCTTAGTGTGATGAGGTTCACACTGAAAATGACGTCCCTGCAACATAAGGATTTCTCCTGTACGGAGCATCCCGTAATACCCCACCAAGAGGGAGACTCCAAATGAAAAATACTGATGGAACCAGGCCCATCCAACCATGGCCTGAAGTACATGAACAGGGAGAGGTGGAGCACGATTTGGCAACTCATTGACGCTCCATGTTTTGAGCAGCCTCCATGCGCCCTGCAACTCTCCCCGGAGTTTGGCATCGCGATCCTGCAATCCGGCCACAGTGTCGCTGGCAAGAGCACGACCGGCTCCCGATGACCAAAGATGCTCAATGTATTCACAGACAATGTCATCCATGTGTTGGCGTTTTGTTGGTAACTCAACTGAGTTGTGATTGAGGAAAGCCAAAAAGCCATCCACTGCTTTGTTGTATCGCTGTTTTGTTGCGGGTTGAACTGTCAAATCCCGCAGATTCCCAAATTTTCTCCGTTGCGTAGCGCGCTCCACCACTGTGCTGGCTTCCAACAACCTTTTAGGCATGTCGGAATTTGGTGCGGACCCTTTTTCCCCACCTCGACGGCTTGTCAGCAGGGTTAAGGTCCGTATGCACATATCCCCACAAACCTTGGGACGAGCTGGCCAGCAACAGGGCATTAACGCGCGCTAGGGTGGCCCGCAGCTTGCGGCTGCTAGACCGCCCCCTTGAGAGGGCATGCAGAGAAACAAGGGAATCCGTTAAATGTAGAAATCGTTTGTTGGTCACTCCTTTGTGTACGATCTTCCATTTGAGTGCTGTAAGAATTGCACGCAATTCAAGGGAATTGATGTGCTCTTTTCCGCCTTTCCAAGCCCACCCCGTGACAATGCGCCAGTGCCACAACTTGGATGGCACCGACGCCCGCAGCCGATGATATCGAGCCATCTGGCTGGATGGTGCGGTCAGCAGCACATCCTCGCCTTTAACACTGATGAGGCTACATAGTTTGGCAACAAGGGAACTGTTTCCCTCGGTAGACGACCCCCGCAAAGGCCTCAATGGCAGTCTCCAAAGGCGGGATTGAAGAAACACAGCACCTCCTGGTTTCAGACAATCCATAATGTGCTGTGGGCTCGGGAGGGGGCACAGCCCCAACGGTCCAAAAAGGTTTCCTAGAAACCAGGTGACCACAGGGACGGACCATGAGTTCCCCACCAGAGTGAGTCTCCCGTCCATGGTCTCAACCTTCTTTCGGTCGGCTTTTGTATACTACAAGCTGCTGTGTACCCAGGAGGGAAACCCATCATCACCTCCCGTTCTTCAATGTCCGGCACTCGAAGCTGTTGTTGTTGGTTGATTAGGCAGTTTCGGCCACAATACTGGTAGGGAGGAAACCTGAATGAATCACTTTCCCATCTGTCCAATTCCTCAGAGGTACACTGCGCGACCCCCGCTGGTTTCCTGCCAGGAGCGGACCGTGGACGCGACGTAGTGAAAGTTGGAAATGGGCGATGTGGTTCTACCTTTGTCCAACCTTCCTTACAGACCTCATCCAGATCCTGCCAGGCCGTGAGCTCGACCCGTCTAGGAGACACCCCATCTCCCGGTATGAAGGTCACCCCTTCTTGTACCAACAGATCCCAGGTCACCCAGTATAACCGTGGTCTGCTGCACCACGTCATTTGCCCCGCGTCGCATCCCCAAGGTTCGTCTCCAAAGCTTGACGACATCACATCGCGATCTGCCTTGTCCATTGAGGCAACACTCTCCATGATTGCATGGACTTGGGCCCACGGAAAGAAGCGTCGCACAAGCCCACGGATACGCTCTACATGGGTGAACAAAGCAGATCTCTCATCACGGAGTGCGCCCTTCCGGTCACAATTGAGTCCACTGACCCCCTGGCATGGCGGCCCCGCCCCCACAAGGACCACGGCCGCCTGGGAGTAACGGAGCGCCCAGCTCTCCACTTCTCTGGCTGTGACCTGACGCACATCGTCAACATGCAGCACTTCTGGAAAATGCGCCTCAGTGACACGCTGAGCCTGCCGGTTCTGCTCCACCGAAATATGCCCAATAACCTCCAAGCCTAACAGGTCCAGGGCCACTCGAAGAGCCCCGATGCCGTCGAACAACCCAATGCTCAACACTTGATGCTCTTGGCGTAGTTCAGGGAGTTGCCCCCTTAGGGCTCCTCCCGACACGAGCTGCCCGACTCGCGAAAGGCCCCGCGAAGCGCATACTCCTCCACCCACCGTCGACGCATCACTGCAAGTCACCTGCTCATCCACCTCAAGCCTGAAGTTGATGCGGGCCAGCGGTATCAGGCTGACGAAGCGGAGTACCTCCACTTGGCATTCTCTCGGCAGAGGCCGCCACCGAGGCCCACCAGCATGAAACGATTCGATGAAACGCCAGACCGAGTTAAGGCAGCCCAACAACTGTCTGCGAAACATTGAGATGTATACCAAACCTCCACAAACTACTTGCATCTCCCGCTGAGACACTACATCCGCACTAAGGAGAGCAAGAGATGCTGCAATGTATTTCAGGAGCTTCGACTCCCGAGGGAAGGCAAGCCCCCGCTCGCCATCAACCTGTGCGCCTTGAACTTCAGCCTGGGGACTTCGCGCCACTGCCTTCTTAAAGTTGCGCGGCATTTCCCACCGCTCATACTCTTGGCGGAGACAGAGCACAGCAGGTGCAGTGGACCCTTCAATCCCAACCACACCCGTCGCCTCCACCTTTTCCAGGAGATCATAATTGTCAAGATAGATCCTCCAGTGCTCACCCCCGAGACTCAGGGGTCGGTCCTTCCTGATTTCCTGGTGCGGACAGTTGGCTTCATCCACCACACCAGCGCCCCGCGACCCTCCCCACAGGGCCAAATTCCTGTGGACATGTTGTGCCAGGCTGACGGAGTTAAGGAACCCCATTGGCAAAACCTTTGCCGCGAGGTACACCGTCTGCCCTTTCATGTCGCTGGGGAGGCACTGGTCAGGGACAGGTTTGTTGAACCCCAGGAATTTCCACCAGGATTGGGGAACTGATATCGTGTAAAAGAAACATCTGATGTCTTCCGAACTGATCAGGAGCGTCTCTCCCGGCTGCAGGAAATAGGGGTTCATCAGAGACCACGACGGAAGAGTATGAAGATTACCATGGCATTCAGTGGCTGTGATATAGAGTTCAGGGGTATCATATTCATGATGAGTCTAAAAGTTTCAAACTCACCACACCATTCATCCTTGGATACCCCGAACAGACCGTTGAGCAGAGGCCGCCCCTTCCAATGGAACAGCTCTTCCTCTGGGTAGAACACACAGACACCAGCTTTGACCAGCCCATTACAAACGGCCGGCCAGTGATCATCATCCACCATCACCTTAGGAGGCCTGGGAAGCTCTCCCGCCAACTCATATCCCACAAAGGCATCAAAATGGGTAACATAATGCTGCGCCCCCAAGGTACACACCTTGTCTAATGGGACACGCCCGATTTCTGCGGGCAATGCTGGTGCAATATTTTCCCATCTGAATCGGCGGGCGGTCTTGACTTCATCTCCTTTATAGTCGATAGCCCGAGTCTTAAAAAACTCCTTCCAATCGAATCGCTCCAAACAACCTGACAGAGCCTTCAACCTCTTGATATCTTCCACCAAATGACTCAGGCAATTCATTGCCGACTGTGAAACTTTCCCTCATAAAGAAGAGCACCACCCCAAATCGAATTCAGTGAAACACAAATACAAATAAGCCAGGAGACATCAGCTGTCTCCAGAGAAGGGAAAACGTTAAGCAGGGAGGCTCTAGAAGTAGGCAAAGGGAATAACGAAAAACTACCCCCCTCACCCGTGGACTGGCTGCGGAGTGGAAAAACTTCTAGAACCCACTGCAAAACTTTGGGACCCATTTCCAGGATACCTTTCCCTTCCAGATCAGCGACACTCTTTTTGCACGGACCACCAAGCTCACGTGGCTGTGCTGGCACTGAGCCCCAAAAACAGGTGCGGCCAAGGACCCTTGAAATCCCCTGGTCGCCTGCAGGGCAGCGTGCGCCATCCTCGTAAGGACTTTTCTCTGTTGGAGGAAACAAGGCTGTCCCTAAAGACGCCTCGGCACTGTGAAAAAGGGGGGACCCGCCGGAATGCCACTTTCCAAGCAGCTCTCAACGGTAGGTCCCTCACTGTTGGAACAGGGGAAGACACCCCCGCCCCCGTCATGCACTGTATCCCCACTTCGGGGGTTCATACCTGCTGTACTGTCTCCCCCGCTCCCAGGGGCAATTGGACCCTCTGCCACTCCCGATGTCTCAGGAGCCACCTTCTCTCTGCTCCTCACTTCTTCTCGTTGCCCTTCTCCTTGCCTTTCCGCTGCTCCTCTCTCTTGCCATCCTTCGGCCACTCGGCCCTTTCGCCTTTTGACGTTTTGGACTTGCCGCTGCCCTTGGCATCGCCCTTCTTGCCGCCTGTCTGCCCCCCTTGGGACAGCCAGCGAGCTCGACTCTCGTCGTAGTTTTCCTTCTGCACGAGCTGCAGCTCGGCCTGCGCCACAAGAGTCGACTCCTCCGGCAGCGGCAGCTCCATCCGCTGCGCTATGCTCCAATGTGTGCCATGGAGCACCGCCTGCTGGGCCTTCATCCTTTGAGAGATGACGTCGGCCGCCATCGCCACCTTCCCTCGGAGAAGATGGTCTAGCGCTGTCGCTAGATTTAACAACTCCCGGGCTTGGGCCCCTGTTGCTCTCCGGGCCAGCTGGTTCCTGTAATACAGGAGGGCCACTGGTTTTGTTGACCTCTCCTCGGCTTCTTCGCCGGCCGTGGTCAATAGGCTCCGCCGCATCGTAGTGATGGTCTCGAGGGTCAAGGCGCCAGGGTACCTCTCCGACACCCCGCGGGCCTTGGAGTCTGTTGTAAAGACCCCATCCGTTCCCTGACCCTCGACCAGTGAAGGACTCGAACTGGATGAACTCTGGCTGGACGAACTGGATGTTTCTTTCCTGGATTTCTTCTTGGCGGCCAGTTTTTGCGCTCGAGCTATCACCCGCCTCCGCGCACGTTCCCTCGGATCTAGCCCCGTCCCGCCAAATAGCAGGGCTAAATCCTTGGTGACAGCTTTGGATGCCCGCCGCCCGTCCAAGAAGTCTGCCGCCCTCCTGTCCTTCTTCTTTTTCTTCTTTCTTTTGCTCGCCTCCTCTCCAACTGCTTGCTGTTGTCCCTCGATATCCAGGGGCCCTGGTGGCACCCCGCTTCGCCCTGGCGGCCCGCCTCGGGCTAGCTCGTCCGCCCGGGCCCGCAGCTGACGCAATTCGTCTCCGTCGCGGCCGGCCCCTCTCGCAGCCAGTAGATTGTCGACCCAGGTCAGCTCCTCGGGGGCCTTTCTCTTCCGGCCCTGAAGAGCATGCAGGTAGTGGTCCCCAGTCACATGAAGGCCACATCCAGACTGGCATAGATGTATCTTGAAGGGCGTCGTAGGCGTCGATGTTACTTGCTTCAGGACCACTTCCGAAGTAGTCCCGGTCACCTGTGCGAGAAGATGACGGTCGCCATCCTCCACCTCCGCCTTGGTCACTTGAGCGGCTACCTCCACCTTTGCCCCGAAATAGTCGCCCTCGGTGATGATGATAGCCGCCCCCGTCAGATCTTCCAGGGGCACATCCTTGAACTTGCACACCTCCCCCCGACTCCAGGGGCTTCCCGCTCCCTCTATGGCCGCGGGCCTCCTCATCACCCCTCTGCGTGGACCTCTGTTGCCTAGGGCTGCCGCAGGTCGCCGCACCCCTCTTCGCACCGCTGCTTTTGCTTTTGGCGGCATCCCTACCGCGTCCTTCTCTCCTTCCACCTGGCCTGCTCTTGCCTCCTGCGATATTCCTGCCCTCGCTTTCTATGCTGTTTTCCTTTCGACTTCTTCTTTTTCTTTGGTCGCTGGTCACCCTGTGGGGGTGCCCTCCTCGGACTCCTTGACCTAACACGCCTTCTCTCCAGGGGAGGTCTCGCCTCTCCCCCGTACCGATCCCCGGATCCACGGGCTGCCTCTCGATCTCCGTGATGTCCACCACTGGACCCTGCGCCAGGCGGCGGGTGGTCAGGGCTATGCGGCCTCTCCGATCCCAGAGAGTTCGCCTTGGGCGCCGGTGTCAACCCGAGCCTCCGCTCCTCTACTGAGTCGCGAGGCCGAACCGGACGTGCCACGAGCCCCTCTGCTGGAGGATCTTCGTCACCTGCGTCGCCCTCAGAGTCAGTCTCCTCTTCTTCGCTTTCTGCCTCCTCCTTGATATTGTCAGCCGCGTTCTCCTCAGCCTCCTCAACCTCGGCCTTTGTCTCGACCTTTGGCACTGGCACCTCGGAAGGTGCTTTCTCAGCCCCGGAGGTTAGGGCAATTGACTCCTCCTTTATGCGACCCAGCCTCCCAGGGGTGTTGCCCTCGGCGAGGTCTGCGATTTCACCCGCAACCCCCCGCAGCAGAACCAGCACCCGCGGCTCGTGGGCTGGTCGCAAACTCCCGGATTTCAGGAGTCTATTGATCCGGGCCACAGCGCGACACGACCCGCACACAGGAGTTCCTCGGAAATTGGAACACTCCCGGCAAGTCATATAGCTGAAGCCCAAACACTGCAGGAATAAAAAAGCATGTGGTTATTCTTTACCCCCGGGGCCGTGGTAGCATGTATGGCTCAGACTTCTTAAATCCTTTAGGATGCCATTTTTGGCAAATATTTTTTTAATGATTTATTTATGATTTGAATACGATTTCCATTTATGATTTTTTTATGGGTTCAAATTGTGGTTATGATTTTTTTATGGGTTGGATATGTTGTTTTAATGGTTTTGGATATGATTTTTTTATGGTTTTTTAGTCCTCAGAATCTGGTTTTCAGCTAAAAACTCGAGAAGTTTTCGATTTTTTTATGATTTTGCTAGAGTTTCCTTTTCCCCAAAGCCTTTTCAGCAGAAAATTTGATTTTGGAAGCAAACTCGTAAAAAAATCGTACAAAAATCGTAAATGCATCCAAGGTCCCCAGAATCTGGGTTTTCAGCTAAAAACTCGAGAAATTTTCGATTTTTTTACGATTTTGCTAGAGTTTCTTTCTCTAGGAAAATCGTAAAAAAATCGTAAATGCTTCCAAGGTCCCCAGAATCTAGTTTTCAGCTAAAAACTCGAGAAATTTTCGATTTTTTTACGATTATTTTACGATTTTCGTAGAATTTCCTCTTCCCTGAAGACTTTTCCACTAGAAAATTTGATTTTTACAGAGAAACTCTAGCAAAATCACAAAAAAATCGAAAATTTCTCGAGTTTTTAGCTGAAAACCAGATTCTGGGGACCTTGGATGCATTTACGATTTTTTTTACGATTTTTTTACGATTTTGCTTCCAAAATCATTTTTTCTGCTCTGAAAAGGCTTTGGGGAAAAGGAAACTCTAGCAAAATCATTAAAAAATCGAAAATTTCTCGAGTTTTTAGCTGAAAACCAGATTCTGGGGACCTTGGATGCATTTACGATTTTTTTACGATTTTCCTAGAGAAACTCTAGCAAAATCACAAAAAAATCAAAAATTTCTCGAGTTTTTAGCTGAAAACCAGATTCTGGGGACCTTGGATGCATTTACGATTTTTTTTACGATTTTTTTACGAGTTTGCTTCCAAAATCAAATTTTCTGCTGAAAAGGCTTTGGGGAAAAGGAAACTCTAGCAAAATCATAAAAAAATCGAAAACTTCTCGAGTTTTTAGCTGAAAACCAGATTCTGAGGACTAAAAAAACCATAAAAAAATCATATCCAAACCAAAAAAAATCATAACCACAATTTGAACCCATAAAAAAATCATAAATGGAAATCGTATTCAAATCATAAATAAATCATAAAAAAAAATATTTTGAAACCCCTCCATCCTAGAGACTTAGGAACTCTGAAATGTATGTATGTACATCGCTCTCTCTCCGTATATGTCTCTCTCCCTCTCTCTCCATCGCCATCAGTCAAGACTGCCGTAGGCAGTGGCGAGAAACGGCCTACCTGGGCCTACCTGATTCGGTAAAGCCATCGGTGCATGCAAACCAACTTCTTTACAAATCTAGTCGGGTCAATGTCAAATCTAACCAGGAACGAATTTGTGTTCTGGTTTTGTGGGTGATGAGGCACCCGCCGTGATCACGCCTGCACATAGGCATCTGCTAGGGAGATACCCTTCTCCAATTCCTGACTCGGGGGGAGTTCCGACCTTCACCCGTCACTGTGAGTGTTGCTGCGCAGGTATCAGGTTCCCAGATTCAATCCCCAGGCACTTACTGGCTAGGCAGCTCGTGCCAACAGAGCTTGGCCAGTTTCAGTTTCGATCCAACACTTGAAACTCAAGAAGAAGATTAAACCAAAAACTCATTCCTAAAACTCACATCTTTTTCCATCTGTTCATAGATTTCTTTTCTGGTTTCATGCCGTCTAAGGACACAAAAACACGGATCACTCGGAGCCCAGAATCCAAGGTGTGTTGCTCTCCATCTGGTGACACCACGCGGTAGCGATCCATCCAACGCGGCAAGACGCGGAGGGGTACTTGGCCGATAGCTTTCCCTACCATGGGTTAGTTTCCAATACTCTCTGGTAAACGTTTACATAACTATGGAAAGATCCACCATTTTTTATAGGTAAATCAATGAACTAAATGGCAATTTTCAATAGCTATGTAACAAATTACCAGAGGGTACTTCAACATTTTTTTTAAAATGGGGTACGAGTACCCTAAGTTTCTGCAATTTTTTCGGGTGGAAAAAGTGATGCCAAATGATGAACCAATGCATAGCTATTCTGAGAGAAGCCCAAGTAGAGGTGGTGCTGACGATCTGAAGCTAAGGAGCTTGCGCTGGTTGGTGGTTGAGCCATCCATTGAATTGGGTATTACAGGTATGTAGTTGGGCTATGTAAAGATATGTATAATTAAATATCCACTGCTTAGGGACACCATCCATGATAACCATCTTAGTAGCTGAACTTGGAAGTTATGCAGTCCTTGAATCAGCAGTCATGTTGTGAATTGAGATTTCTTCATTCCTTGGAGGTTCCAGCTGAAGACCCGAAACGGGTTACCTGCTGGAACATGACCATTTTCGCAGGGATTTCAGGCCATCATGTGTCAGAGTGATTTTGAGTTGAGCCAATGCCTGTGGCCATCTAGTTACCCTCTGGTTATTTAACATAGCTATTGAAAATGCCCATTTATAGATGGTTTTCCTATTAAAAATTGTGATTTTCCATGGCTATGTTAAATAACCAGAGGGTATATCAATGATATAATATCCCTCGTCCAACTCGTCCAAGCCCGTCAAGCAAAAACCCTGGTAATGGTGCATGGTAACCTTAGCGGCCTGGTAGTCACTGTCACTGGCATGCTGATTTAATCACTGCACTTGGATCTTCGAGAATTAAAATATGAGCAACTGACACATCACCGTTTAAACCTCTCATGTAGCAAGATATAACCATAAAATCTGATGTTGTCATATGTTATCACCTATGTCCTATCCAGAAATTGATAAGTCAGCACCGCAGTTGGGATATCATTTGTTGGAACCCACTTCTCCTACAGATATCATCGCGTTTCCCTACTCGCCGGCGGGTCACAGCTCTTCAGAGCTGCATAAATGGTGGATATCCTATTGGATAAACTTCAAATGATAATGATAAAATGACCCAACCGAAAACAACATATCTATGTTGACCTCCCAAAAATACAAAACATGTTTGCTATTCCCGAGTCATAGCGGATTTACCATTTTGAACATAAACAATCATCTCCAGCAACTCCAGGAAATACCTGAGATCAGCCATGGGTATAACGGTCTGAGGAGGAGGCGCATTGGATGTACTGCCTAGGGGGCGATGATCGGAACGGGCATGGAAAATGGGGATAGGAACCAACAACAGCATGAACAAACATGCATGAACATAAACTATGAGAAACTATATATGATAAAACTATGTAAAGCTCACATGTAGTGCTGCATCTTTCTGTTGCATTTGCAGTGTCGACATTGTCTACATTGTTCAAACAGAGCAAGCATGAACCAGGCTCTTGTCGTTTAGCCAGGTGCTATTTGAAGACAGGCCCTGCTCCCTGGGCCATGAACATCACCCCATTGAGCTGATGGCTGGGCCCATCATGCCAGGCCATGAGGTAGAAACTATTTGAACATTTGACATGGGTCACAGTTTATTTAGACTCTACATTCTCAAAACACTTTACGCATTTTTGATTCTAAAACAGGACTCATTTTTTGGCCATCGGTCCCCCATGTTTGAGTCATACCTTGCTAGAGAAACTCTTAAAGGCAACACCCTGAGAGAAACTGGGTCAAAACATGAGGGTAGAATGGTCAACCACAACCCCTCCATGAGAGCGGTGAAGCCCCGGTTTCAGCCCATCCAAAGGTCGGGAAATCATCCGCATCTTCCGCCAATTTGAAGGTCAAATTTTGGTGACAAAAACTGGGATGACCCGAAATGACCAAAATGGCTAGCCCCCCTGTGGGTTTTGTGCAGGGCCAACATGGCCACCAAGCCGCGGAAGGTACATGGAGAGTCGTCCGCACTCCGGACAGCTTCGGGTGGTGGTGTTCACCGAGTTGCACCTTGGTGTCACCCATCGATTTTCACTGGAAAGCTCCAAATTTTCGATGGCTTGATGGGGATCTTTCAACCACGTTTGATGAGAGGTACCTTTGAACATCCCAGCTGTCAATCCCTGACTGGAAAAACTGATGCTGAGTGAACCATAAGGTCATTGGCAAACATATGCTTATAAGCATCTTATACATGGAATATACCATGACATAGGGATGATGAACCATACCAGCTATTCCACCCAGTTATACCGTCGTATGTAGCATAAACTAGATCCCAGTAAGATAACCCAGTTACAAGGCACTTATGGAAGATACCCTGGGTGACTATTATGGGGTAAACATTTCGCCGCATACCGAAAATACCACTGGTACATCCTGGTACTATATTCAACAGATTGGTTTAAGGGAAAATCTACAGGATTTTCAATATTTCTTTCGATTTTCCCATGAAATATGGGGGTTCCTGTAATTTGTCCCTTACAGCACACCAAGCCACCAAGCCATTGACATATGGTTTACGAACATTTATGAACCGCAAACCGAGGGATGCAGCTCCTGCAGCTCGCGTTTCCGGAACCGAGCGGCCGATGTCCTTCCAAATCCATGGCCCGCGCACAGCTTTCCCAAACCTCGCCGGGATTGGCCGTACCTGGGACAGTTTTTTTGCTGCGCCAAGGTGCTAAAATCACTCACTGTCATTGCTATTACGCTAATATCACAGACATATAAAATATGATTTGGTAAAGGTAAGTTGGTAATCATATCTAATAATTCACTGGGGTTTATATCCACATATCATCGTGTATTATTGGAAGTTATAATCCATTTTTATTGGAAGTTATATATATATATATACATATTCATTTTATATACTACAGTATATAGGTAGGATGAAGCACCGGCTGTAAGGCGTTCGAGTCTTCAACCGGGGATCAGCTAGGGCAGCTAGGGATGGAACTAATGGAACACCATCAGTAACTAATTACTTAAAATCGGCAATCAACGAGTTCCCCAACATACAGCATGGTTGGTTGCTGGTATGGAAATGGTTTTTACCCAACAAAATCGCTTGGGGGGACTCAGAAGATGGTTACCATCACCAGCCAGCAAGGTGCGGATGGCCCCCACCACGCTAAAGCTGAAGTGTGTCACGAAGGCGCTGCAATCAGAGGCTTGGTACGATCTTGGTACGGGAACGGGATGGATTTTTGCGCAGGATCAGAAGATATCAGAAGACCATATTGAAAACCCGGGACTGTGGTGGTCCAAAGGTTTCATGTTAAGATAGAGGATCTCAACTGCCGTGACGATACCGGCACAACATTGCGTAAGGCAGATGCCAACGGTATGACTCAATCTGGATATATGAAGGAAAATCAAATTGCTTGACAGCCTCCACTCAGTAGAAGTGATACCAGTATATACATCTCCCGCATTGGCCTCTGCAAAGCTTGTCCAATCTTTGGAAGTGAATATGGCATCCTGCCAAACAACCCCAAAAAGACTTGATACACATTTGAAAGCTTATATGAAAAGGGGGTCCGTTTCAAGAAAAACCAAACATCGCAAGCAGGAAAACATGATCTCCCATTTCCTTGCCATGCACTTCCAGTCCCAAACGGCCGTCAACAACGCGCCAATCTCAACCCTCAGGCCGCAACTCACCACAACAGCTTTCGAAGGTGAAGTCTCCACCATCCCAACCTGAGTATGACATAGCCAGGATCTGCGACCAGCTGGTGAAATGGTCAAACAATAGGGATGTATAGCAACCCACTTAGTAAGTGGTTTTATAATCCATAAATACCCCATATAATCCCATACAGAATAGGGAATATTCCATATATCATATATCTATATATAATTGGGGTATAAGCCATTTACTAAGTGGGATGCACCCCCAAGTGGGGATGTAAGCCATGTAAGCAACCTAAAAAACAAAGAAATACTTTGTCTACCTCCGGATCCGCAAGAAAAGTGTGGAAACACATGAAAACAGCAAATCATGTTCAAACCCGTGGAGGAATCACTTGTTTGTGAATTTCTGTTGGACCTAATGGGGATATACTGGGAACAGCTCAACAGCAGCTCATGCAGCCAGGCAACAATGAGAGTTTCCACCTGGACCAAAAATGGCATTGCAGCACCTGAAGGAACCGGAACGCACGACTTCGATACATCTAGGCTAACAGAAATATGTCCTACTTTGTCTCATTCAATATACGTTAGATTACTTTATTACCTATATGGTTTATCTAATTTTATCTATGATTATCAAACTTATCAATGTACAATGACCACTGCCATCAGATTGTAGCTAGCCTCATCTGGTTCGATGATTTTGCCCAACCGAGGTTTAGATTCAGATGCCCATCACAAATCACACCATCGATAAACCAGTAAAATATATACCTAGATCCACTTGGAGGATGAATATATATATATATATATGTATATATATATCCACTAAACGAGTATCTAGGTATATATATATAGATAGATAGATAGATAGATAGATAATCCCATTAAGACTAAATTCTTGGTGGTTTTAACCTCATTATAAACCACAAGAAAAAACATGTTGAGTCGATATGCGTCGATTTTCCCATTCAAACTTCCAGTCTGGGAAATAATAACAAGCAGCACATCTTTTTGGCAAAGTCCTCATATCTGTTCAATCTTTATGGTTAGATAACTTATCTAATGATTCTCAATAGCAAACCACCATTTATAGTATTTATAGTTGATTTCCAACGAACAACTTCCATTTTTAACTGGTTGGTGGTTTGAACCCCTCTGAACAATATGAGTTCGTCAGTTGGGACTATGACATTCCCAATATATGGAAAGTCATAAAAGCCATGTTCCAAACCACCAACCAGTAATTCAGTTGATTTCCAACGAACATTAGATGATTAGATACTATAAATGGTGGTTATCTAATGACTATTCCAATTATTAACCATATAGATTAACCATATAGATTAACCATAGATTAACCATAGATTAACCATAGATTAACCATAGATTAATGTTTACTTCTCGGATCACTGATCTCAGAGATGACGTCTCCGAAGCGCCACGTCGCTGAGCGAGTCGCTGGCCCCGGGTGATGCCATCGGTCCAGCAATCGAGTGCCACGGCCCGCAGCCTGGACGATGGAAACCATGACATAGATACTGGCCGGTTGATGACATTGCTTTACATTATATAAATGTAATATAAATGTGTTGTAGTTAGTAGATGTTAGTAGAATCATCTATGCTATATATATATGTAATAATAGATGTTGATAGTGATTTACATCTTTTACATGTAAATTTGGGCATTGTGCAAAGATTCCAAGCATCATTCCAGGATGGAAATGGTTTCAAAGCACCAGCCATTTAATTGTAGTGAGCCCCAGGTTTTTGCCAAAACGTCTGGATGTCCGCATAAAGACCGCCTCATTTGACATCAAGATTCTCCGTGTCTAGATGCCATTTCCCTGCAATGACTTCCAATGCCACATACTTTGATGAGCTCATCAATATCAGTGTCTCGATCTCTGTCAGTAGCTGTGGCCAGATGATTGCAACTACCGTTTGTTTTTTCATGCCAGAAAGATCCAGAAAGTATAGATATAACGTGCTAACGGTACAACATGTCAACGGTCAATATAATGTAAGTCATTAGTCATTTGCCCAACAATGACAATAATTAACCCATTATCACCTGATAATAAGTCATTAGCCCAACATTAGCCCATTCTAATCACCCACCACAACACCCTTTCGCCCAAGCCCTGAGATCGACGCCCGGTCAGCGCCAGTAGTGCGGGCCAAGCAGATCCTCCCATGGCCAGTCACAGCGCAGCCATGGCCATTGGCACCAACTGAAGCAGGTTTCCATGGAAGTTATGAGGGAATAATATGGGAGGCTGGGAATAGGGCTTAGCAGGTCCGAAGAGAACTTTGACCTTTGAGGCTTGAGCAAATTCAGAAATGCGACGGGATCCTTCATGGCCTGGTGTTCGAGAAACACACACGTAGCATCCAAAATATGAGTTCGTCAGTTGGGAAACCACCAGGAAATAAACTGGCTGAGACAACCCGATTTCATGTATGTCTCTGTCTAGATATCTGAATGCATACAATTGGATGATGCGCATGTGCATATACATACATATATATGTATATATATATAAATATAATATACACAGCTGATAAAGATAATATGGGACTATAGTGGTATATACATATGTGCATACATACATGTGTATATATATATATATTTGTTTAAAGCTGGAATCTACATATAATCGTATAAGTGTTTCTGTCTCTCGTAGCAAAGGGACAGTGGAACATACCCCACATGATCGGGTTCTCAGTCATGCCGGGGTTTTGCTATACCTCTGGAGCCAAGAAGGCAAGGGTCGCTGAGTGATTCGGGTTACAGGGTTGCACCTAGTCTGGGTTTTTCTGATTAATTCATCCAACAGAAAATATATAAAGAAACTTTATTGAAGATAATTAGTCGGGAATGCAACCCTCAAGAACAAGAACATCCAGCAGCCAACAAGGTTACAGCCGCTGAGGATCATGTTGGACTACTCAGGCTTTCTCTTCCACACCTCGACAGACGAAAATAGAACAAGTGCATATAGGGCCCGCAGTTTTTACTCCAGTTCGATCTAATTATTTTGGACTATTGACTGATTAACGGCTTGTGACAGTGTTATGTAAATATAGATGTACATTATGTACTTAACTGGTTGGTGGTTTCAACCCCTCCGAAAAATATGAAAGTCAGTTGGGACTATTATTCCCAATATATGGAAAATAAAAGCCATGTTCCAAACCACCAACCAGTTATGTACTTAAAGGTCTTGAAATGTGAACGTCCAATCGGTTCCACCAGCTGACTACCTCCACTTTGCAGGCAAGTGTTTTAACACACGTTGATCCAACGTAAAACAGCCGTTGGGTCAACTCACCAAAAGGAAATTCCATGAAACCTATGGAAAAAATAGGATGAATGAGGAATCGAGTTATAAATGGGAGTATAAATGGGTATAACATGGCATTAACATGGTATAACTATAGGTATAACTATGGTAAAAGCCCCCCTAAGTTGGGAATATTGGGCCCATAACATGGCATTAACATGGTATAACTATGGTATAACTATGGTAAAAGCCCCCCTAAGTTGGGAATATTGGGCCCCTAACGCCCTATGGTTCTGGATATCCTCTGATCAATGGAACTGCACCCCCAAGTGCCATGCCCGTGCCCCCATGCTTCAGCATGTTTATGGCTGCGGATCTTGTCATCCGCATCTGAAAATATGGATCGCCTATAGAATCTCATAGGAGGGAAAGCAATTACAACATATTGAGGATATAAGGAGATCTTGGATTATATAACCATAGTACGGGTTATATCACATCGCATGGAGGTTGGTACCAGTTAGTACCACAGTTATACCCATTAATAGCTATGTTAGTTTACTAGAGGGTAAGTATTAGTCTAAATAAAGCTATGACTGACTTATCATTCATGGCAACTCCGTAACCGCTGAACCTGCTGAACCTGTCAACATCGTGGCCGCCATGATCCAATCACTGCCCGAAGAAGGAAAGGCGCAACGTGGTCGTTCACCAATTCGTTTGGAAAATGTTCTAGAAAACTCTGGTCTTTACCAATATACCATCTGGTTATTCAACATGGCCATGGAAAATCACCATTTTTAATAGGTGAACCATCTACAAATGGGCCATTTTCCATGGCTATGTTAAACAACCAGAGGGTAAATGATTCTTTCCTGCAATTCTTCCCTTCACCTGGGAGTCATGAATGCATGCGGACTGAAACAATTTGCTTTCACGCTTGACCAGCTTTCAAGCATAGGCCCAACAACTTGGATTTTGTTATCTTGAATCAAATATATATATACACATATATGTATATATATATAGGTATATATATAGGTAATAGGTTTCCTGCATTTATCACATCTTAAGGGTCTGTTCAGTTCACTTCATTCTCTCTCCAATGGTTTCCGTGGCATCTGCATCTTGGACCAAATTGCCGGCATACATGGAAATTGTCCAACACAAACAACGCAAGATCAAAACAAACGATCGCACAATAAAGCCTCTGAGGCTCCTCTTTTTGGTTGACCTAGAAAAACTAGCATGCTTTAATATATTTGTGATATATCTTATAATATATATATAGTAGTTTTGACAATCCCTTGACAGGAACCATTTTATTAAAGGAATGCCGCAATACCCACAATGTACTTACAGAGTTGGAGGCTCCGGGTGCACACTGAACCCGGTGTGCCATTTCAGGTGTCTTAGTTGGCTATGTATAAAGGGATTTGCCTCGCAAATTTTGGCTTGATACAGTGCCGTACTTCGATTTTGGGGTCCTGAATGTCACATTCATTCAAGCGGAAAGCTTCTTTTTCACATACGCACAACATGCGCGACATGAACATCTTGGATAGAAACTGCAGCAACTTTGGCTGTATTTTTGTGCGGGCCGGGATGCCACTATGCTACTCCGCAGTGTTGTTCCCCAGTCTTAAAAACATGTGCAGCAGCTTTTGCTCAAACCTTGTCTCATGAGATATGGGGCAAACAGGTTTTGATGACACAGGAGGATTAATGTGGTAAACCCAAGAATTAATTGCAATAATGAAGCGACCATTTGGGGATGATTCATTATTGGGTTTCCCATGTTGTGTTTGATGATGCCCTTCTTCCGGTTCCATCCCTCTTCTGATGCATCAGCCATGGGATGTCTGCATCAGCCAATCTTAGATAAACAGGGCGCTGATTTCCAACCAAAAATGTGTGCAAGCTTATGCAAGCTTGCAGTACATATATTATAAATAATATCTATGTATAATATATATATATCTATCTATCTGTCTGTCTGTCTGTCTATCTATCAATCAAACAATCAATCAATATATCTATCTACATTTATATCATTCATATCATTTGTACCAAACGCTTTCAGCACTAAGGAGTACCCATCCAGTCAGTTTTTCTGCTGCTGAGCCATTTCTCGGAGCATCACTTGCGGTTCCGAGAAGGGAAGCGCCTGGTGGCCTGAAGTCATCCATCCAACAAAAAACAGTGATGTGGTAAAGCCAATGCCATAAACCATCCCATTAACTAACCCCTTCGGGGTCGCTTTACATCAAACATTTATCAAAATAGGAATATATATGTATAAATATATATATACATACATACATACATACATATATATAATATATATATATACATACAGTATATATTAAATAAAATATATTAATGAATATATATATATACATATATCTTCAATAATTAACTCTGCGATACTGTTCTCTTCAATCTACAGACCGTTTTTGATAAGAATAGGTGAATAGGGTGGGTTCAGCACTGAACAAGAACTAAAAACCTATCGGTGTTGCAGCCAACTGAATTCAACAAGCCATCTACGGAATCTTTGCTTTTTTTTGGATGCCAACTTCTCTCCAGGCTATGGAAAGCGGGTTCAACACCGTGTAGCTTTCACCAACGGCACAGCGCTCGAAAACGGAGCTGAACTCTTTGAGTTGATACTCTGGCGCTGTGGAAGACCTGGATCTTGGCCATAAATCACTCTGTCAATGATCAACTATACCCACTCTAGATTCACAAATACAAATAACAAAAAAACAGTTACAATTACTACTATAGCAGACTTATTCTAGTATATACAGTACATACTCATCTCATAGATATAAACACAAAAAATATCGTGATTGTGGTTATATATTATGAAAGGTTACCATGGTCAATGGCTATTATTATATCATCCAATTATATAATATATCTCATAATATATGGCCATGGTTATTTTCATCACTCCCATGTCCAGCCAGCCCTCCATGGCTCGCGAAGTTTTTCGCCCGGCGGTGAAACAACTGCCCGTTTCCAACGGTGTCACCTGGCGATCTCAGTTCTAAATCCAAGGAGATCGATAAGATTCATTTCACATTACCCTCTGGTAAACGTTTACATAACTGATGGGAAAATCACCATTTTTTAATAGGTACATCAGCTATAAATTGCCATTTTCAATAGCTATGTTAAATTACCAGGGGGTAAAAAAAACAATGGGAAATTCAGGATCCAAAAATGGAGGTACTGTACCATATAACTATATTTTGTGGGGACATTCCCTTAGGCCTGAAAAATAAGCCAAACATATATGGCAGGTACCTGCAATTTAAGGTTCCTGAAATCGCCATTGATATAATCACCCTCCGGTTATTTAACATGGCTATGGACAATCATCATTTTAATAGGTTAATCATGTGTTATCTTATCTATAAATGGGCATTTTTCCATGGCTATGTTGAATACCCAAACGGCAATCACTATAGAGGAGTGGGATTTTACGAACTTCCATCTTGAGGTATGCTATAGGATAGGTATATGTTAGCTTTTCCTTGAACTTGGATAATGTTTAGTTCTGATTTGTAAATGCCCCCTGAATAAAGCTAAAATTTTCCCAAAATAAATAATGAATGCCCCCTAAATAAAGCTAATTTTTTTTGGCCCTAAATCCAGATTTGCCCAGATGGGGCTGATTTTTTTTTTTCCATGCTTTATTTGAGGTGGCTTTCATGTACTAATTCATATTGCCAGCTCATTAGATCTTACCTTGATAACTTCAAATTTTCAAAAATAATGGTTGCTCTTTTCTATTCAAAACCTTTATTCAAAATTATCCAAAATCAATCCCAAATCAACTCGTCAAGGGTACCCCCCATGAGGTGCCTTGGCACTAATTAGAGTTTGACCCTGAATAAAGCTAATTGTTTTTGGCCCTAAACCCAGATTTGCCCAG